TTTATTTATTTATTTATTTATTTATTTATTTATTTATTTATTTTTGAGTAGCTGGCATTGGTCACCTCCCAGACACTGCAGCTGTGCTTCTTGCCTAGCCAAGAAGCCTAAGAAACAATAGTAATCAGAAAGTGCCTTACTGTCAAGATCTCTATACCTCTGTTAAGAGAAGGAATAACAAAAACTTGTTTTGGCTTCTGTAGTTTGCTTATCTGCTAACTTGGTCCATACTTAGGATCAGCTGGCATTACTCATATGTGATGAAATTCCTGTGGTATTTGTACTTTTGCCTTTATAAGTTGGTTTCACCTTCCCCTCTGGCTGTGAGCCCTGAATCTGACTAAAGACTACATGGCTATAGCCCTAATAAATTAGATCAATTAAACTTTGAATTGGGTCTGGTGGTGTTTTTCCAATAGTTTCAAACTCTGAACAATGGAATTCAACTAGGACTCCCTGCCTGTAAGACTATACTTATCCAAAACTGTGTAAATCTTAGTGGGTCTACATTCCCAAATACCTATTAGGATTGAAATTGAGAGCACAGCTGAAGTTAGGTGAGGACAGAGAGTTTAGTTTTATGCTAGCAGACTGACACACAGATACATCTATAAAGGAGCCAGTAGTCCCTTCCAGTTTGGGGGGCTTTTATATTCATATGTGAGGAAATGCAAGCAAAAGGCAAAACAGCACATTGGTAACAATTAAGTACAAAGGAACATGTGATAATTAAACAAGGTAACATATGGCCATAAAGGTTACAGGAATGTGGAAGCTTTGGAAAACAAAAACTTCTATCCTGGGCAACCACAGGGGGGGACGGGGGTGGGAGACTCCTGTTCACCTCCTCCACAGCTGTCTCTTGTCTTGGAGCTTTTCCTGCTCCAAAGTTCTTAATTACCATCACATTCCAAGAGCTTTTAGCATCCATTTGATGGGCTCTTCTATTTCCATTATACCAGGTCTGGATACTATAGGCCCAGGAGGACTTTTCTCCAATGTTGTCCCTGCATTTTTGCCTTCATTATTCCACCACACTATCCTCTCCAAGGTTTTTTGTTGTTTTGTGAAGTAACTGGATCATGGAAATAAGTAATTCTTTGGTTCTGGAAAAATCCAGACCAGTAATAAAATGGAGGGTTTTCTTGTTTTTGTTTTTGTTTTTGCTTTTTCCAACACCTGTAGCCCTTTTGAGTGATTCTCTTGGCATGGTCTTCTTCAGGATTTAGTGGGCCAAACCACGGAAGTATTTTTTTTTTTTTTTTTTTTTTTTTTTGTGAACAGTATATAGTGTTAAGGAACCCAACTTCTTTTTTCTCCAATTCTTATCCATGTATCCTCTCACTAAGCCTGTCAAAGGAGTAATGCTGATTTTTTTCTTGACATTTATCACTTGGAAAAACCTACACACATTTTATTTCTTTATATTTTATTTTTAGCTTACATATCATTTTAATTTATTATAAAATACTTGGGAGCAGGTCCCAACAACACGGATTACTAAATTTAATTCTCAGTACCAGGCATGGGATACTTCCCTATGAGTCATTGATCAGGGGACCACAAATGTCTCCAAAACAACATAGGCTATTGCCATTTCCTCTAGTTACATAGCATAACTACACGGTACGACTTTATAACTGAAGACACAACACTCTTTGGTTGTAGGAAATAGAGAAATTGGTGACTAGGAAAACTCGTTCCCACTGGATAGCTTTCATAGTGCCATAATGTCTATACAGGCCACTGGGGGAGGAAATGTATCACTAGTGCTGGATTTTACATGCTACAGTACACAAATTCCAGGCAAAACATGCTGACTAGAACAATAGTGACATGACTATGGAGTTAATCAACCACCTTCTAGTTATATTTGGGGCCTGCTGCATAGGAGGGAATCCATACCTGATGCTATAAAAGCCCATGGCTAAGGAGGACATAGGCCATAGAGTGGAACCTATTAGTGCTAATTTATGAAATGGTTGCATTGTCAAATTGCCTCCTAAATACTTATGTTTATAACCATAGACTTTGGGATGCTCTTAATCTTTTTAGAGAAACTTCGTTTTGTAGTGGAGAGCAGTTAAGGGAATCTTAACTAGTCAAAGTGCTGAGAATGAGTGACTACTAGTGCTTGGCTGTAGAAGGGACATGTATATCACCACCAACTCCACCTCCAGAATGAGGGATAATCAAAGAACTGAAATAACAAAAGAGCCTGAGGATAGGGAGGAATGCTGTAAAATGTTGTGTTCTGGACATGGCAGGGCTGTTGCACTCATGAGCTCATAGTAGCTGGGGTTACCCACACAAGACCCACACAAGATCAAGCTAGTCAACATTCTATCTAGCATGGATGGGAAAGGTCTTATGAGGATCCATCCCTTCTTGAGGAAATCTTTGCAATTGATGGCTACTGAGAAAAGGATAGTCATTTTGCTTTGGGGATATGGTAATTGGTAGATTGTCCATATGCTCCAATGAAATACTCATACCCATATACACATGGGCAGTATTCATTGGACTAATTGGGGTTTTCATTTGCTAGAATGGGGCGTCTACAAAATAACTAAACCTTGTTGAAACTTGAGTTCTGTTTTATATGTAATCCAGAGGAATATATCTCTGACAGTTCAGAGTTTGTTGAAAATTAAAGTTGGAATTTAAGTGATTTAAGTTCTTTCTCAATGAACCTGTATTATGATGTATTCAGAAAACATTGGCAAACCCAAGTGACCACACATGGGTCTCTTAATATTTTAAAGGCATAGGATCAGCCAAGTGTGGTGGTGCACGCCTGTAGTCCCAGCACTTGGGAGGCAGAGGCAGGCAGATCTCTGTGAGTTCAAGGCCAGCCTGGCATTTAAGTGATTTAAGTTCTTTCTCAATGAACCTGTATTATGATGTATTCAGAAAACATTGGCAAACCCAAGTGACCACACATGGGTCTCTTAATATTTTAAAGGCATAGGATCAGCCAAGTGTGGTGGTGCACGCCTGTAGTCCCAGCACTTGGGAGGCAGAGGCAGGCAGATCTCTGTGAGTTCAAGGCCAGCCTGGCCTACATAGTGAGTTCCAGCACAGCTGGGGATACAGGGAGCCTTAAAAAAAAAAAAAAAAAAAAAAAAAAAAAAAAAAAAAAAAAAGCATAGGATCTGTGAATATAAACCATACTTGGAAAGACAAAACTATTTACATACCTTCATTTGATTCTGGTTTTCAATTTGTAGAGTTGAATTTTCTATTAAAGTTGGTATTCTCTTTAAGTCATGGCTGTAAACACAAACTTTAAGTATAAATTAGGTAAGTGGGTAACACTTCCTTAATAAATTTCCTGCTCCTTTCAATAAACATCTGTGTTTTTTGAACTATAGAAAGGATCCCTGAATGTGCAGTATTTCAGTTCCTCTAGCTCTCAATGCATAAATGAGTAAACTTGATTTTTTTATTGTAACTTACCATGGAATTAAGTGTTTTCTGCTGGAAGAAAGACAGTACATTATATGCACATCATTATATTCACAAAGATGAGTATGTTTCTCCATCTACAAAAATGTCATGCAATAAATGATTGCAGAACTCAGAACTATGAGTTGTAAATTCAGACATAAAAAATGGCAATAGGTGAATAAAAGCATGAATAAATATATGACATGAAAATAATGAGCCTCAGCAATGCATTTAAATGTTTGTGATTTTAAATTCCAATTAATTGCAATTTTAGGATAATAATCCCAACATTAATAA